TGCTCTTGTGTTGGACCCTGATCATTTATATTACTGTTTGATATCGCTGTAGTATAGTAGTAGTATTTGACATGTTATATCAGACAATCAAATGTGCTGTCCCATACTTCATAAAAATTGTGTGCCTCCAACTCGTAATAGCTGTGAGGACCTATATGTTGTTATCATGTGGCCTATGCTGATGGTAAGATGGCACTTAGATTATGATAGATGTAAGTACCCATATGTTATTATCATGCCGTATCTACTAATGATAACACGCCCCTTCGAGTAGATAATAGATTCTTTGCTATGAGCATATCCCCGCAATCTTCCCTGTATGCTGAAAACGGACTTTACATGCTACTAGTGTCGGAGTCTCACCATTTCCCCGGTCTATGTTTGTCATGATCTGTAATGTCGGTCAAGGTCATTTGCTTATCATTCATCCCCTCATTTAGTGATGATGGTGGTGTAAGGGTTCGGAAAGGGAAGCCGCGGGAACGCGCGCCCTCCTTTGTGGCGCGTGACGTGCCTAATCTGCAAGGTGGCTGTACCACGCCGTGTCCCACATCACACCGAGGGCGGCGGCGGATCCGAAGATCTGCAGGGTCCGGAGGGTCTAAGGAGGCTTCAAGCTAGTTTATCCATAAAAAAAACTTTAAATAATAGAAGACCGAGAACATGCTGATAGATAAGACTAAATACATCCAAAGTTGTAACAACATGGCGATGCAAACAAGTTAACTCAATCTTTCTTGACTTGTCAGTCTATATTTTGTGACCGTCACCGCCTGGCTATCTTAGCAAAGTTCAGCCTCGACAATCCAGTCGCTGAACACATAAAAATTACTTCCATGGAATTCGCCGTTTGTGGTTGCGACAGGCACCAGCCTAGCGCGATCACGCGCCATTACAAAATAAGTTCAACATCCTAAGGGGAGGTCTCCGACTGTACGTAAAATTGTCGGCTACTGTACGTCCTATCTGACCTTGCGGTGGGCCTCTACCCGATGCATGATACGAACGAAATTTTGTCAGCCCTCAGCGTCTCCCGACAGCCTCAACCATGCCACTACAACACCAATACAACAGGCACCCCGAATTGTGGAGGGATCTCTAGGAAAGTGTTGTCATATAAAGTAAAGGAAATTTCCCAACGCTGAGCTGCGGCAAACCATCGCCTGATGTCTGACAAGGGGATACATTAGACCCGGTAGTATCAGCTGTTAAGCAAATGCTCTGCAGATGGGCGGTTAGTACGCGAATGGATGGGTACGAGTGTCATGGTGAATCACATACACTGCAGGCATTCGGGATAATTCTGGTGCCAAAAATGTGGCGGAAAACAAGCTGGAAAGTAAAAATTTTCCTCCATATTTCGGCACCGAGAACATCGGGCGAAAATTATATATTTTCTAAGCCATTTTTGGAACAAGGACAAAGCCCTGAAAGGGCTTTGTCTTCTGATGGGTTTTCGGCCAACAGAAATTTAAAATGTCCGTTGCCTTTTATGGCAAAGAAAAGCACGTGGAAAAGCCTACCTTTTCGGCCCGGTTTTTGGTGTCCTGAAAGGCAAGATTTCTTAATCCCAAAAACCGGTTGGAAAATTTATCATGTCCCTATCCATTTTCTTGTATCTAAAATGTATTTGACATGTAAAATGTAAAATGACTACATCAGATTTGTCGACGTACAGGGCACGTTGTAACCTCGGGGAGAACAGCAGCTAGTCTGCAATGAACGCAAACCTTGAATCCAGTTGACCCCCCGCCGGTGTAACTCAAGTAACCTTCAGAACAAAGACAGGACAGAGGTGCACCGGTAGCAGCAGAGTGTGGTACAATAGCAGCTCAACAAATGGCGCACCCAACGCGGCTAGCAGGATAGGACAAATGTGCACCAGTAGCAACAGATTGTAGTGCGCCAGCCCAACACATGATGCACTAGGGACTACGCTCGCTGTGAACATCTGGTTCATCGACTCAGGCTGTACTTGTTCAACACCCCCTACACCACAGCCACCACAACCATAGTCCGATGTTGCACCAATATCACCCTACCACCTGGGACAGAAGGTAGTAATTCCGTACCAGATACTACGAGCATGTAATGAAGAACATTTACGCTCGCATCATGATCATAGACACGGAACATCTTTTCTCTGCTACGATAGGATTAGTTTTGTAGGCTGGAAACATGACAGAGGGCAAAGGTTTAGTAGAGGCCAGCTCGAAATCACACTCAGATGTACGGATGCGGATGTACGAACGGAACTACACCCTAACCGGGCTGGCCTTACTGTAGGGAGCACAGACCGAGCAACATGGATATGAACGTGGTCTTGTCATAGGAAAGGAACCTTGTCGCATATGCGGCGCCTATAAAGAGAGATCAGCAAGAGGCGGTGCAATGCAGAATGATTGACTAGCAAACACTGATATGCATCAAATCTTGCGTCAAATGGAAGTCGCCTTATACGTTTGTAATCAAACTGCGTAGACAAAACTATAAGGCATATCGGAGAATAAGTTATCAATATTGTACAAGATCTGCTTGTTGGTACGAGAATCAGGTTTCGTTATTCTACAAGCGCTACTCCTTGACATCAACACTTTCCATAGTCTAATTAAATCGACTTCCATTTCTTGAATCCGACCTGAGGAGCCGGGAGAGCATTGGCCACCCAAGAGCGTTTTCTAGTGTCAATGTCCTTCGTCTCGTCAGCGGGCTCGTCTAAGCTTCCATCTGACTCATCCTTGACATGTTCCGTGCAATCGTTGACGTCTGAAACGGTAACATTGTGCAACAGACCCGGAACTGTTGCGATGTTGTGGAGGTCCGCGACTGTTGTCGAAGTCGAGGCGCGCGTGATGGTTTGCTCGGGATTCTTGCTTTGCGGGGCTAAGGGTCCGAATTCAACAAACCAAGGGTGGTCTCTGGCTTCTGACACCGACATGCTTCCATCATTTGCACGCTGAAGCAGACCTGCAATCAAATTCATGGCTGCCACAGTAACATTCAGCTCAAACACACATTACACAGGAAGTCAAGCACGGTGTACCATTGTTGCTGGGATTCACGCCTCTGAGGTAAGGCCACCAAATTCGACGTCTTGAGATACGTTTCTTGACATTCTTGATTGAATGATCGTCAATAAACAGGTTCTCCCCTGTTAGCATGTAAAACGCAATGACGCCGACACTCCAGGCGTCTACGAGATCGCTATAAGGGTCCTGGTCCTTTCGGATAAGAACTTCGGGAGCGACATAAGCTTCAGTGCCACATCGTGTCTATCAATATGATTAGCGATGAGATACTACGTATTCAAGGGGACCGCTATACCTTCAAGAATGTTTTGCTGTCGGCGACCTTAGCAAGACCAAAGTCAGCGACTTTGGCAGTGAGGGGGTTACCGCGTGTCAAAAGGACGTTTTCGGGTTTGAGATCTTGATGGGCGATCCCTCTCGCCGTACGAACGTTACGTTCTGCATGTACGCTAGGTTTGATCTCTGTCCCCAGGGAAGCTTCAGTCTAACAGCCGACCTCTACGTCCATTATGGCAAAGGGAGATGCTCCTCCGAGGCCCACAAGATCCATGCAGAGGTGGTCGCTGTAAAAACCCTTAGCTCCAGCCTGTATGCTGCACCTCTACGATAACCCTCTTCCTGCATCCATCCTGCCCCTTCGAGTAATGCATCTCATCCTCCATTCTCTCATGAGCGGGTGATTGACACATTCCAAGGGTTCTTCTCACTGCCAGTGGTTGCTACCTACTGGTTGCTGCACGTGAGGCCCTTGGTCCGAGCAGGGAGAGCTTGGGGAGAGCATTTGTTTTTTTGCTAAGAGGGAACCTTCTTTCTGTACCCCACGCGGTCATGTTATATGTTAGCTACGTTTTAGATACAAGAAAATGGATAGGGACATGATAAATTTTCTAACCGGTTTTTGGGATTAGGAAATCTTGCCTTTCAGGACACCAAAAACCGGGCCGAAAAGGTAGGCTTTTCCACGTGCTTTTCTTCGCCATAAAAGGCAACGGAAATTTTAAATTTCTGTTGGCCGAAAACCCATCAGAAGACAAAGCCCTTTCAGGGCTTTGTCCTTGTTCCAAAAATGGCTTAGAAAATATATAATTTTCGCCCGATGTTCTTGGTGCCAAAATATGGAGGAAATTTTTTACTTTCCAGCTTGTTTTCCGCCACATTTTTGGCACCAGAATTATCCCGAATGCCTGCAGTGATACACGTTGTGCGGGTTCATGGCGAGTGGACCTGGATCAAGACCCCGGGCTGGCTGTCGGAGTGAGTCAAGGACTCAAACTTCTTGGCGTGGGCGAGGTAGCATAGCGGTTAAAGCACCTCTCACTACAGTCGTTCGACGATGGGGGCCCTTTTTGGGTAACACCCTGAGTTCGACTCCCACCGTTGGAGAATAACTACTTTAGACACTCCATAAATTTCGCCGCTATCCGATTGATTTGTACAGACCAGTCCCCAAAATTTCACCCCCAAACTGCCTTAAGTGGCACAACATTCTCACACTGTCCAACGGGGTCGCTATTTGCGGCATCGCAACCAGATCAAGCGCGGTCGTCCAGAATTTCATCCGGCACATGGTTCTCCAAAAATAGTAGGCTCCGGCAGGGGTCCCAGGCCCCGGTGATTTTGGGTGGTCACCGGAGGCCTGCACGGAGTGGTTAACCGTCTAATCCCACCGCGGCGTGCCCAATTGAGTAGAAGGATTGGATTGGGGGGGTTCACTGCGGCATCGCGTGCTGACATAAGTCGAGTCGCAATCGGTATCGAAGGGTTTGGGTCAAGCTTTGTTGTCTGGGTGGCTGTGAGGGGTTCCCGTCAGAAGTCGGTTCATGATTTCAACATTTAATATTTAATATTGTGGGTGCTGGGGGTTGTGTGCTCTTGCTTACACGTTCACATGGGCGCGTTCCGGGTAGCCATTGTTAGTCACGCTTTCCCGTTATATCGATACTAGTCCTGCACAGATACGAATCTTGTCTCACATAGGGCGGAGCCCTGAGCGGACAATAAATGGATTATAAAAATAAAAAATAAAATACAAAAACCTTCTTGGCAGAAACCGTGGTGTTGCACTTGATAAGAGCAAGCGTGGCATCGCCAGTGCGCTCAATACCAAGGAAAGGGGAGCAAGGTAATGTAGAAGTATCCGGTGTCGCCGGGCTGCAGCGCCGTCAGCGTTGATGCCCTTAATTGGGCTCCTTGCCGTTGAAGAAGTCGGATACGAACTTCATGGTAAAGGGGATACAAGTGGAACCATCAACGAGGACGATCTCACACCTTGACACGCTCATAAGCGGTGCGCAAATGACGGAGAGTACGGGAATTGAGGAAAGATTTAGGGCATATGATCAGTAACCAGAGACGCCGCGGGAAAAGGTTTGAAGAGACATACCTTTCTTATCCCTGTGCATGAACTCCCGGATGAAGCGGCCGACGAAGCGGTTGCTGAAGTCCTTGCAACTGTAAGATCGTTAGCACAAAGAATGGGCGAAGGCTTGAGCGCGGGTGCGTACATACGATCGCAGGGCCGACGGCGGAATGCTTATCTTGATAGGGAGATGTAGAATTGACGAAAACAGGCTGGATAATGCCGAGGATGGCGACAACGAGGAACATGAGAGGTGGGCAGAGGCAACGGTGTCAACGCTGGGGGATGGGGTAGTGGGGTGGATGGTGGTCGGAAAGCAGGAACAGGGTGGCCCAACCAAAGACTATGCAAGAAATCGCGCGGGGGTACAGCTACTTCCCATTGCCGATCTGGTCGCCGGCCAATCACTGGCTCTCCCAAACAGTGATTGGAGTTTCGGTGGCTTGCCAATGGTTTTACATGGAGCCGCCAATGGTGCGCCATCGGTTCTCAACCAGGCACCACTAAATTAGTCATCACAAAATTGAAAATGTGTTCTGATTGGTTACCTACAGCACTACATTACATTGCCGAGGCCAACATGTCGCAAACATGTTGTCAATCTGTGTTTCTCCTGCTCAACAGCCAAATCATAAAATTCCTCCTCCTCCTTGAGTCCCTTCTCCCCAGCCTTAGTCAGTAAATCTATCCAACCCCTGTTGTTGAAGTCAAAAAGGGCCACAAGCTCAATGTGGCTGTGCATATGTGTAGATTCAGTGGAAATACTGTACCTTTTTGACTGTAGGCTCGCAGGTGGCATGGGATTTGTGTTTACCCCATCCGGACAGTCCACCATGTGAGGCTCAAGGACCTGGAGCAGAGGTGGACGCCAAGCTCGCGATGTTCAGTTTGTATGATTAGTTTAGGGACAAAGGCTCTGAGTTGGACATTACTTATAAATTCTTACTCCTTGTTGTTATGACATCTGTTGCCGAGCCACACGGTAAGTCATGGCAATTTGCTTTGGTTGATATTAACTGTTCATCATTTACCTTCAAACATGTACAATGCATACCTGTTAAATGTTGAGCCATTGACCCTGCTACAAGTGAGCATGAATCCCTTTCTTTTGTTATGGTAACCATCCAGGCCTAGACATTGAATGTGCAGCAAGTTCTGTCATCAGCCCATGCATGAGCATTGCACCATTGACCCTTCCAAAGCTGATGTGCTGTAAGTTTTCATGCACCATACAATTTATTACCCAGATACAAAAAAACTGGGGCTGCAGTGTAGACATTGCAAGATTATGAACATGAAATACGACAGCTTCCTGGGCCACTAGGGTGTGATTGAACACTTGTAGAAAATTTTCCTTAATTTACATGGCTTTCTTGACAATTTACTGGCTGTCCACCATTTCAAGCTCACATAGGTCCTGCTGAGGTGGACACTGGTCCACCCCTCGTAAGCTCAGCTTGCTGGTCCCAGTGGACAGGGGACAAGCCTACAGCTGAAAAGGTACAGTAGAGGCATTGTTTTCATCCTCCTGAAGTTGCACCTCAAATGCCCTCCTGATTGACTCATGTGTATTCTCCAGGTCCTCTGCTGGCTCTGAGGACAAATTCTGGATGTCATCAGATTATCCAGGTGGTGATTTGTGAACAGTGTTGTCAATGACTTTATGCTTGCGCCAAAGGCGTTCAGTGCTTTTGCCTGTAGCCAGATACTTGTTGCGCAGGTGGAGTCGGAGCTCTGCAAAATTGAGTATATTAGTAAGCCCAAGCCTCAAGCGCAATTTGATCAAAATAAGACCAAAGATGCCAAATAAGTGCTTGCAGGATGCCGAGTTTGCACAGATTGCAAACAAGTGCATGGCTAGCTGTAACAAAGGAGATACAGGGAGTCCTGGATGCATAAAGCCTCGGAGAGTTTTGAGTGGGTCTGGGCAAGTTCCTTATTAAACCAATCAGAAGATTAATCAAATATTTGAATAAATACATACCTTTGCCAAAGCATCAGCCTGAGCATGGGCAGCTAATCATGCTAAACCAGCATAAATGCCAGTACCAAACAAGTAGTTGTCAAGCTCGTCATAGAGACTAACAGGAGCTGTTGAACCAAAAAAGCGCTCATAGAGTAGGCACATAAGCTTGAAGATATTGGCAGGGAACAATGATGGAGATTTAGCAAAGGGTGTCAGCTTATAGATGGGGTTGAGAATGACAGCAGCAATAAAAACCTGCTGGTCACATTTTGCCCAGTGTCTCTCCAGGCTCTCAATGACTGAGCCCAAAAAACTAGACTGCTCACCATCACAAATTGCCTGAAAGAGCATGTCAGTATACTTGAAGTGAAGATAGCCAAAAATGAGAAGAATTTCATCAAGGTGGGTATGAGTACTGTACTTTTACAACTCAAGGTTCAGTCCCCCTGTCCCCCCACCCACTGAACTGAACCTTAGGTGGGGGGACAGTCCCCCTCGTATCACACACACTGAATTTAAGATGGGGGACATGTGGTAGAAACACAAAAGACATTGTATATTAGCTAGAAACTAGTAGCGGCATTGTGAACAGGTACTCTATGACCTAGGAACCCAGTGTATTGATTGTCAGAAACACTATGGTGCTTACTCTGGCCCCTTTCCTCCGTGTCGGGAATTTCAATGAAATTGAGGTCAACATTGAGGTCATCTGCCATTCCAGACACTGAGAGTGAGGCAGTACCATGGTCAGCATTGCATGGGCGTCAGATCCAGGCCATTAGATCACCGGGTTTAACCCAAAGTGCATTGTCATACTGTTCATTGCCCTCGAATAGGTAGATGTCTTTGTTGATGCCCGCGGTGCTGTGACTTGCACTGTCCTTGGGTGCAATGTCAATGTCCCAAAGGACTCCGAGGTGTAGGCAAGGAGGTCAGGATCCGTGCGGAGAGCTCACATTTGTTGATGAGCTTGAGTGTGGCAGCCATAAATGTGGACTTTTTGTGATTGTCTTGAGGCGGCGGAGTGGACAGGCTGAGGGTGTGACAGTGTCCCTCTGAACTTCATGTCCCCCTTGGTTAGAGCTGTTGAACTCAAAAGGGGGGACATCTAGTTATGGTAATATCTCTGACACACAACTTTCTCATGCCACCATGAACTTCGGGTCATAAAAGTACAGTAGTCTGCAAGAAGTTGGTAGTATATGCAAGGGGTTCCATCTGCATTTTCATTCTAGAAAAGAATGAGCAAGTTGATCAAACTTGAATAAATGACTCACACCTCTAAGACCTCCCACAGTTTGTTATCCTTCATCAAGTTTACCATCTCCTGAGCTTTTGCCTTTGCAGCACCCTGTGTCAGAATCCACCCTGAGGATTGTTCTGTGAGCTGAAACAAGGGAGGTCTGAGTCTGAGAAGCCAGCAAAAAGCAAGATGGTGAGCAGTCCAATGAGTGAAAATAGCTCTGATAACAGACAAAATCCTCTCCGGAGCTGCACGTGTCTGGTTAAGTTGCTCCTGAATTCACCAGAGGAGAGTCATGGCCTGAGAGTGGTTCTGGAGTCAAGTGATCAGCTCAGTCACTTTCTTGGTATACTAAGAAAGATATGTTGGTGTGTTGTTGGTCTTGAGATAATCTCCGACAATATGGTTTATCTGCAAAAACACAGATTAGAGGATATATCATATAATAATAAATCATACCTGATGAGCATAACAGTCAGGTGTTACCAGCAAAGTAAACTGCTCTAGCAACTGTCTCCTTGCAGCTCTTGACTCCCCCAAAGCATCAGATGTGACAGCACAACTGTTGCCTGCCACTCTGCCTTCACATTACCCATAACATCAATAATGAGATTTTTAGGTGTGCAGCAGTGCAGTGGTCAGATGACACATCTTTTACCACAACAGTGTGAATTTGAATAAGGATAAAATGAGGATAACATAAGAATAATGGACCAAAAGAAAATTAGGACTCACATCACGGTTTGGTGAGGTTGTCATCATAAACATGACAAGATGACGGGAGTTAATACCAGTTCAGCCACAAGTCTGTATAGTTACCAGCTCACCCACAGACCTTTGCATAGCAGTCTGCTTGTAACCATCAAGGAGGTGGGGGATATACATGTGGGTGAGACGGTAGCTCAAAATTAGAGTGGCTGTAGGAAAGTATTGCTCAAAAAAGGCCTGCACTGCTGGATTTTTTACCCAGCTTTGCGGGAACCCACACAAAGCAGTGATATAAACAAGGTGACCTCCAAGCATGTCCTGATCAATAGAAGACCAAGGAGCAAGCGCAGAGGAGCTGGTAGAGCGTGAAAGGACTCGCTGCCGCTTAGACAGTGGGATAACCACAGATATCGCTGAAGGAGTAACAGAGCATGGGGCAGGTGAAGGCACAACACTTGAGTGGGGGCTGGGGCTGGCAGATAAAGAAGGAAGTGATTGAAGAGGAAGCATGGACATGGGAGATGGCATAGCATGAAACAGGTCACCTGGAAGCATAACAGAATGTGGCATGGACATAGTAAAGGATGGGGATGTGAAGGAGAGGGAAAATAAATATTGCTTGCCTCTACCCTCTGTGGCCACATGCTTTCCCCTTGCCTGCACCTCAGCTGCATCTCTGCGGATGCTGGGTGGCTGGAGTGTACACACCTTAAAGTACTTTAATCATAAATATTGATAGATTATGGTACACATACCTTAAGATGATTTAGCCAGTTTTCTGTACACCCTTGTATCCATGGCTGTGCCATTCCCAGCGTAAGCAAACTAGTGGACTGCCTCGGCTCCCAAGCACATACTGCATAAATCATGATAAACAGGAATACAGTTACAATAATCTGGGTCACATACCAGCATCTGTGTTGTGGACACAACAGGGGCGACACTCTAAACTCCTAAACAGCTCTGAAATTTTGGAGGAGGTCGGAGGTAGGTGGAACAGAGCGGAGTGTAGGAGCATGGAAGCGTAGGTGTACAAGTGGCCGAAACCACAAGGCTAGGTGATGGAGGATCTCAATGAGTGCTGGCTGCAAGCACAAAAGCACTAGTCCCAATGATCAAGTCAATAAAGCATCCTATCTACTACAAAGTAAATGCACACCCAGTCCCAATGACCAAGAGGTTGAGATAGCAAAACTCTCAATATATAAACCACTCCGGCAATCTCTGGATCCTGATCCTGCTACCAATAACCATCTGCTGTCACGGAGGTAGTACAGTGCTGCTGTTAAATGTCCGCATGGTCTGCACAATGCCTGAATGTTGTCGGAAGT